CAAGGTTGCGTTCGAGCTGACGCAGCGCCCTCTGGCGTCGGAGGTGGCCAGTGCAGGCTAGACTCGGAACTCCAGGTTCCCCTACACAGATGGCAGGCTCAGGGAAGAGCCTTTCTGCCTGACAGGTAAATGTGCACTGTTGATGTCAAATGGAACCAAACCCCACCCCTACTAGGGGTGTTACAGTGGGAAAGTGAGAACATGAGCAACACACACACTCTAGTTTGAACCGTATCTCAGTGACCCCTGCCTTCTCTTGGCCACAGTAGCCTGAGGGTTACAGAAAGGGTCACATGTCATGTGTGTGAAAAGTTTAGGCATTAACTTTATCCTGCACCATGGAAACTGGTGGACTGTTTGATATGTGCCAGCAAATGATGCTGTCTGCCCTGGTGATGGGGTGATTCCCACTTCTCGGGCTGCCTCCTTTCTGATATTCCTAGTGTATCAACCCATGGAATTCCCTCAGACAGGTGGCAGCGGTAATTCTGAGTAGGTAGTGCCTCCAAGCTGCAGACTGAGGCAGGACTATGCATCGGCATGTTTGAGGACATGACCAGCTAGACCCGAGTAATGCTTGCCATCAGCTCAGCTCAGCTCCCCTTCACGCACACCCTGAAGCCTGTGTACCGCTGATCTCTGAAGCTCTCCAGTGGGCAGTTCCTCCCTTTTCTGTTCCACCACTAGAACTTTGCTCACATGGCCGCGGTTTATTTTTTTAATAGTTTTATTGAGAATTTCATACAATGTATTTTGATCATATCCCTCCCATTCCTCCCCTTAACTCCTCTCAGACCTACCCACCTCCATGTTCCTACCCCTCACCTTTGTATCCTTTTTAAAAAGTAATTAACTTGGGTTTCAGTTTCTGGGGTCCTTATACTCTGGCTGTGGGGAAATCCACTGGAGTGTAGTCAACCTACCAGAGGCCACACCCTTCAAGAAAATGCCCTCTCCCTCTCCCATAGCTCCTCAGTTGGGAATGGGAACTCATGAATCCCCGCACCCTCCATGTTAGAATGTTGACTGGCTTCATCTTGTACAGGCAAACCATAGCTGCTGAGTTGGTGGGCAGAGAAAGAAACCATTTCTCTGCAGTCTTCCCTGATGCTCTTAGTCTTCCGCTATCTCTAAAAACAGGTTGTGTTATTCCAGGCACAGCCTGTATCTTTCTTACTGCTACCTTCTATTTACTTATCTTCTCCATTTCCTCTCCCTCCCCTGCTGCTCCTCTTTTCCCCCTTTCCCGTGGACCATACTCCAGTGACTCACAGAAGAGCATAGAGCCCACCAAATGTTAACTTCTAAAGCACCCTGACATTCTAGGACATCGCCAGAAATCTGCTGGCCCCCTTGGCTAGTAGACTGCCCACTAATTTATCAGAAACTTGATAAGCACTTGCTGAATATATTAGTGAATGTATGCCCTTTCTGTACCTGGGCCCATCCCACTTTCCTTGGATAAACTTCTCTCTCCACCAAGGCTCATTTTTCTCTGTTGAAGGAACCCGGTGAATCACAGTGATGCCCAGATGATGACAATGACAGTAATGCCACCCTGGAGGTTACTGGGCCAGAAACTTCTGTGTAGCTGACATCTCACCATCGCTCACTGTTTCAGAGATCTGAGTGTGAATTTGCTCCTTAGTGCTTGATGTGCAGAAATAGTAGAGAGAAATTGGCCATGGAGTCTGGTTGCTTTCAGAGCCTGCCAAGCTCAGCATATTCTTAGGTGTATCCCCAAAGGCTGCTTTACTTCTCGGGGCCCAAGACTGTTATGATGGAAACACGTTCTGGTTCTTCCATGCCCAGCCATGAGGCAACCCCACTCACAGGAAGTAAACTTCTAATTTTGAGACAGGTTTTACCATATAGTCCAGGCTGACATTGAAGCATGGTCCTCCTGCTTCACCCTCCCTGGTGTGAGGATTACAGGCAGGCATCCAGCTCTGTCTCCTAGCAGCACACATTCCAAGATGTCAGTCTGCTCTAGAAGACTTAACACTGACAATGCCCACTGTCTTCCAAGAATGTACACCCATACTGTATGGGATGGTATTCACTCGGTAGTGTCCACCAGAACTTGAGGTGTAACTGGGACAATAGACTCAGCCACTGGAGTCAAGTGACTTGGTTCCCCAGTACAGAAGTTAAGTTACACCTGCTGCTCCATGCTGGAACTGGCACCATGTGCTCCTCTGGGCACTGACCCTTCCTTCTGTTTTCCTTCCCTGCCTGTTTAAAGTGTATCAGCTCAGGCTGGGAACATAGCTCAGTTGGTAGAGTGCTTACCTAGCATGCATGAAGCCTTGGGCTCAGTCCAGCACTACAGAAGCTAGGCATGATGAGGCACACCCGTAACCCCAACACTTGGGAGATGGAGGCTAGAATATCAGAAGTTCAAGGTCATCCTGGACTATTGATTGAATTTGAGGCCAGCCTAGGCTACCCCCAAGACCCTGTCACAAAACAATAGAAAAGCATACCACACTGAGTCTTTCAGTTTAGAGGATTTTAGATTAACCACTGTTTGCAGTTAATCTTAAGGCTCCTAGACCATTGGAGAAACCCAAGAATTTAAGTTTTATGTGTCCACAATGTTCTAAATTAACTGGAATTCTCTAGAAATAGATGGACCATGGGTACTTTTACAGGGTGGTTAAAGAAACTAGCTCCAAGGCACTGGATAGATGGATCAGTGGTTAAAAGCACTTGCTGCTCTTTCAGAGGACCTGAGTTCAATTCCTAGCACCTATATAGGTAGATCTGTAAGTCTAGGTCCGGGGTATCTGATGCCAGCTTCTGGCCTCTGAGGGAACACACATATGGCAGACACACAAATAAAAAATAAATACAAGCTAAGGGATCAGGCTGAGTGGGGTTAATCTCGCTCAGCCCTGCCTTTTCCTAGCTTTAGCTTTTCAGCTGTAGACCAGTGTATAAGGTGCTAAACCACTGTGTGCCCCAGATTCCCCATCTGCAATATGAGGATGAGAACAGAAATTTAATTGAAAACAAAAAGATATGAGGACAACAGTATGGCTGTATATGATTGCTGGAGTTAGAGTGCCAAGCACATACAACCTAAGATTCTGCAGACACCGACAGTGTTAGGGGCTGGGATGCCATCCCCAGGGGGCCACGCTGCACCTTCCCATTAACACCTCCAGTTTTCAGCAACTGAAACAGCACCCCGGGTTTGTCCATTCACTTTTATTCCTCCACGAATCATAACTTCAGTGCTGACACAGAGTAAAGGCACAGTGTTCACTGAGCTATAGGCAGCTCATCAGCACCATGGAGCTAGCTGGGAGCCTAGACTATAAACACGCTTCATGAGCACTTGCCTGCCTGGAGGGGTAGGGCGATACTGCTCAGGCATCTCTGTAGGAGTGTGTCAAAGCTGGTCTCACCACATGAGGCACAGGGGCCTCCAGTGGACATGGAAGTCAAAGAAAACCACAGATCCCTGTTCTCAACCCACAAACTCCAGGTTGGTGATATAGACCTGTCCTTCCATAGCTCCCTGGATGACTTACAGTACAACCGGTACAACATCACCAACCAGTGCAGAGATGCACAGATGAGGAGAGGGACACCATGAAGGACCATAGAGAGACTTTTTATAGACCCCAAAATGACTGATTTGGTGACAGGCACTGAGGTCACAGCTTGGGCACATCACTGTCTTTCCCCAGGTGGAGGATGGCCTTATTTTCCAGAAGTTCCATTTGTCCGCTGCTGGGACTCACCAGGTTGTTCAGCATGGCTCTAACTACTGTCACCACAGGAACAGAGTACCCACTGGCCCATGAGACTGGCAGAGAGCCGAAGAATTTCCTAACCAGCCATTCGCCTGGACGAGACTCTTGCCTGTCACACAGTAGGACTCTGGAAGACAGAGAAAGGCAGGGAAAGAGATAGCACATGTGCTCTGACTTTATGGAAACTTCAGATTAACTTCTGCTCCCCAAAACCTGTCGGCAGAAGCCCTAACCCCAAAGATAACTGTATTTGGGGATGGCCCTTACAGAGGCAATTAGAGCTAAGAGGTACTGAGGGTAGGACAGGGCTGCTGTCCTTACGAGGACACAAGATAGATATCTTTCTACACATGCACAAGAGAGGCCACGTGAGGCCACATCCAGAAGGTGGCACTGCCAACGAGGAGGAGGGGCAGACACCAACTTCCAGGCTTCGAGAAAATCAGTGCACTCATGTGGTAGTTGTAAAGTTGGATTTGTTAACTGGTGTGGGGCGGGGGTACATTTTAAAAGGCATGTAGCAACCACTTTCAGAAAGTTCCAGATGATTCTGAGGTAGCCACAGGCTACTCTTTTTCAAAGCTGAAGAGTGGGTCCTTCAGAGAAACAATTCATTAGCCAACCTTGTTCAGATGTCTTAGCTGTCAGCCTCTCTACTTACTCCTAGCAGGATAAAACTTACCCCGGCCGAAACACTGAGAAGCGATCAAACTTTAGTTCTTCAACCTTGGCTTCCACCTCTCCCTGTTAAGATTTAAAATAAAATAAAATAAATCAGTGTTTGACCAAGACCAAAGCACTCACAGAAGGCCTGAGAGGGAATTACCTGGGCTTCTGTGGCTCTCAATGGCAGCCTGAGTTTGAGAGTCTGGACAGAAGGAAGAGGCCATTTAACCCTGGCACACTGAGAATGATCTGCTACTGGTCAAAATGCAGAGAATAACTGTCAGCAGAATGCTCAACCACAAATGGGACATCGACATCACCCCTACACCCCCAAGCCTCAGTGCCCTCTGTAGAGCAGGAGAAGCAGAAAGATTGTAGGAGCCAGAAGTTAGGGTGGACCTGAACAAAACAGTGCATTCTAGCATGGAGGTGGGTGGGGTTGACAAGTGCCCACCCCTAACTGAGGAGCTATGGCCAGCTGATGGCTTCTGGGGGAGGGAAAGTGAGTTTTATGGGTGTGACCCCTGGTAGGTTGGCCATGTCCCTGGGGCACTCCATTATTAATGTCTAAACAGACCCAGAGTAAGTAAATGAAGCATCAATCCAACTCCTCCCGTCCCTCCTCAGAGCCAAGGGTAGTCGCTTCCACACAGTAGATCATAGATGACCCCGTGTCAATCACTTATAAGCATTAGCAACCCCCTCTTTCCTAGATCTTAAGAAGAAAATGAAGTTACAAATAGAAGATGCTTTAAATTATAAAGCCGTCAATTTTCACACCAGGCATGTAATCAGAGAGGCCAGGGGAGCTATAATGTGACAGGTTTTTCAATGTCCACTCAGCAAAGACACTAAGGTGATGAAGGGGTAGACATAGGAACCAATAAAAAATGGAGGCAAGCCTTCAGGGTGTTTTACCTGGAAAAAAGTAGTTAAGGAAATGGGATCCCTGAGCAATGTCTATGTCTACAGTGAGGAAATGACTCTACAAATGATGGGCATTTATAAAACATCCACTCCAGGTCCAGGTGAGGACGACTGACAAATGGTGCCTAACCAGATGAAAGCCCAAAAGGCAAGTGCGCTTCTAAAAAGGATTTCACATGGAGGAGTCTGTGGCCTGGTAACCTCTCAGGCACTGCTCTTACACTGAGGACCGAGAACCATGTCTAGGGACACACAGCACAAAATCGGGTCTGCCCTCCTGCATCAGCAACTCTACTTCAATGTTAGGAAACAAAAACTCCTTGTTAATATCAGCTATGACCACATATTGCACTGCCAAGAGGCATGAAATTCTGTCCTCCTGGCCAGAAGAAAGTGGAAGGAATGTTGTCTCCAAGTCTGAGAGGCCATGCCCTCCAAGGGCAGGGTTGCCTCTACTCCCTCCACCCACTATACTGAATAATTCATGGAGAAGACAGCTCCTAACCATGCTTGCTTTTGAAGTATGTTCTCCCAAAACAGTCCCTGCAGCTTTGAAAAATACACAGTGTCTGTGTGTGTGTGTGTGTGTGTGTTTTAAAGATTATACTGGTTCCTTAGCATTGTCAATTACTCTATGTCTATGGAAGACAGAAAATGCACAAACCTTTACTTGTAGGTATAAGAAACTGCTGGACTTATCAGCCCCCTTTGAGGACAGCAGGTTGAAATGTTTGCACCCTCCCGCTTTCGCCAGCTCTGCAGACTTCAGCACATAATCTCGGTCAACACGGACAAAGCCATCCTGGGGAAAAAAGGACCTGATTATTTCCAAAGGTTGCATGTTCATGTTAGAGATAATTCCCAGGGTTGAGTGGCAGGCTGGGAGGCCTGGGGGAAGTGGGATGTCACACTCGGAAGCCAGACTTAGACCCTGGGGAAAGGCTCCAAGTTTGATCTTCCAGATGGCACAGCAGCTTCAGCAGCAAAGATTAGCTGCACTACACCACAAGGATGCCAATGAAACCCAGACAGTGAACAAACCTACAGGGACCTTAGGAAACCATGAGGCTTCGCTGGAAAGTCTGCTCTCAGTCACATGTGTGCCTCCTCTTTGCTCACTTTTATGTATTTATTCCATGCCTCAGCATTGAACTCAGGGCCTCACACACAACCAGGAAACACTCTGCCAGGGAGCCACAGTGCCAGCCCATTTCTTTTAACAATTTTACAATTCTGCTTTCTCTTTTTTTCTTTCCCTGTGTCAGCTCTACCATGCTGGGGTCTCAGGGTACCACACAGGAACATGTGAGAATGGAAATTTTGATGTCCAGTTTACGTGGAGCCTTTACAGAATACTTTAAATATTATATGGCAATGCATATCTTTCGATTTTTAAAAAACTGTTAAGTGTGTAATTTAAAAATGTTGGAAAGGGCTCAAGACAGCTCAGGGGGAAAGGTGCTTGCCACCTTGAATCTGTGTTCAATCCCCAAACCCATGTAACAGTGGAAGGAAAGAACCAACTCCTCTGGCCTCCACAAGTGTGCTTAGCTTACACACACACACACACACACACACACACACACACACACAATTTTTAAGTGTTTGCAAAAGGCTGCTAAGAGTCTGAAGACAGCCTGAGCTATAAAAACCAACAAGGTTGGAGACTCCCTGACTCCCTCCCTTAACCACCCAAGGTTTAGCCCAGTGAGGACCTTGCTGAACCTTCACTCTTAATTTACATCACAGAGTCAGAGCTTCAAAACGATCTGAATAAAAAGGTAAATCCAGGTAGGATAAAAACCAAACCAACAACAGAACTACCTAGTTCTACCTAGAGAAAAGAGAGAGGGTAACTCCAGGGCCTAACTGAAGAACACATGCTTTCACTCCCTAAAGTGAATTGAACCCTGGTCCTCTGCAAAAGCAGTAAATGGCTGACCCATCTGTCCAGCCCTGGAACTCATCTCTTACCCAGGAATCATCACTATCTTCTTTGGTGTTTTATACTTTTGACACCGAGACCTAACAACTCACTTGCCAGCCCAACCTGTATGCTGACTCAAGTTCATGTTTCTGCTTTGTAACATTAGTGTGGAAACAGCCAGGGGATGTGGTGCGTGCCTGTAGTCACAGTACTTGGGAAGCAGGGGCAAGAGAATCACAGCAAATTTGAGGCCACCTTGGTTTTTATAGCAGGTTTGAGAACAGCCAGGGCTACATGGCAAGACGATGTCTCCAAAATAGAAAATAAATAAATAAATGTGTAAAGTTGATTACTTTGACTTCTCTAAATGGAGATTTTAGACATGCTGAGAGAAGACAGGAAAAACCCCAAACTAAGAGAAAAATCCTCACTTGCTCTCTCATATTTATTTCTTTTCCTTACTCTAATTAAAAGCAATTTTAATAACTGGTTTATTATTCACAATGCATTTAATTGGCTAGTAGCAGAAATTTTGTCTTGTGTTAGCACAATGCTTGGATTATTATAGTTGTCTGTGTTCTGATGCTTTTTTTTTTTTTTTTCAGCAGCTTCTTTAAAAATAAGAGAGGCTCAGCCAATCGAAGGTCTCCAGACCGACGCTATCTCTCTCACTTAATCCAGGACCAGGAGAGGGATAATTTGATTAAACTGAGACCCTAATTTATTTGGCTTTAGTTCTGGATCAACCTCTCCTTAATAGAGTGCTGTCGCCCCCAATTGTGTGATGGAAATTAAAGTGACATAAATGCCATGGGACTCTTTCAATCTGATTAGCCAGCGGAGACACATCAATACCACCCCAGCCATCAGACTCTGGCGTCCTTCCTTTCACCAGCCCGGCTAGCAACTGACAACGGCTTCTTGAAGGACCAGCACCCACGCCAACGTGTGGGCCCCCATCCTCAGCCCATCATCCCTCTCAATGGGCCCTGGTGACAAGGTGTCCACACCTTTCTTCAGGGCTGTTCTCCAGACAAAGCTAAATATTGTTTTATTAGCAATCAATGGCTGTTAATCCCAACAGACTTCACAAATCCTCTGAGCCCTCAAGCTCATTATAAATCCGCACTTTTCCAAGCGCACTAAATTTTGAATTTCACTTCCTTCACTCTGATGGCGTGGCTTTTTAGCTGCTGAATTAGACTCTAAAGCAAAGGGTCAACGGCTTCCAAGGACTCAAAAAACAAGCAGAAATGAGGTCCCTGGGACTGGCTACAGACACCAATGTGTGCTAGGTTTGGAGGAGGGGCAGTTGGCATAAGGAAGATTATATTTATCCAGTGGAAAGACCTAGCTTTAATCTTACTCCTGTTCTTGTTCTCTACTACTTAAATTAAAAACAGTAGAAAAAAAAAACTTCTGAAGCCACTCCATACCCCAGGGTGTTTTTCAGAAAAACTGTACCTCACAGTCTAAGCATACAACAAGAGAAAAACCAGGCCTCTCTTCTGAGAGTATTAAGCCCATCGTGTTAGTGAGTCTTCAAATCCCATAGCTAATCTGTCCTACTCTAAGATGGAGAAGTTTTTTAAAATAAGGGGTTAAGTTTTCATGGTGTGTTTCTTTCCCAGATCTCCTCAAAAGTGCATACATCTTGGCAGAAATGAGTCTTATTAAAATCCAAGCGTACAGAATGCATCTTCTAGTCCCAATGTTTGAAAACAATCTAACAACACTACAATACTGTGGCTCTGGAACAACTCATCTTTGTTGCCATTTTCTTGTTGCTTTGAGATAGGGTCTTATGTGAATAGGGTCTCTGGCTAGCCTCAAACTCACTTATGTAGCCAACAATGATGTTGAAGGCCTGATCTTCCTGCCTCTACCTCCCAAATGTGGGAATAATAGGCCAAGAACAACTCAATAAACGTGATGTTTTGAGTGAGAAATGCCCCCATAGTCTCAGGCATTTCAATACTTGGTCTCCAATTGGTGGCACTAATTGTGATATTTCAGAGATGTGGCCTTGTTGGAGGAAGTATGTCTCTGGAAAGCAGGCTTTGAGGTTTCATCCCAGTGGGCTCCCTGTTTCTTGCTTGTGGTTCAAAACCTGAACCCTCAGCTTGCTGCTCCAGCAACAAGCCTGCCACCTGCTGCCTCTGCCCTGCCATCAAGTACTCTAATCCTCTGGAACCATAAGCCCAAATAAACCCTTCTGTAAGTTGCCTTGGTCATGGTGCAAAAATAGAAAGGTAACTAATACAATAAGATAGCTAAGCAGTGACAGGACCAGAGAACATTCTGGAACAACCAACAGTCTCCAGGCCCTTCCTGAGAAGGAAGACCTATCACTATGTAAAGGGTCTCAGCTGTGATTCTGTTTGGGATTCTCATTCCTTCACCTCTTTTCAGTTTAACCCTAGAGTGGAAAATAGATGCTGACAGAAGAATAAATAATATCACCTGACACCCTACGTGTGTCCTGGGTGGCAACTCTCTATCTGATGTAGAGAAATGAAAGACAGCTCTTGCTTAGAGAAAAAGCATGGAAACTTAAGCCAAACAGCAGCTAAAGATTCATGAGTTCATCACTGCACTCACATCAGTCCTTCTTCTGCTTTGCAGTCAAGGAATTCTGCAGGTGGGAGGGAGTTTGGTGTTAGACAAGGAGGAATGCTCAACAGACACTAACCTACATACTCAAGGCTACATAGCTACCTGTTTTCCCACAGGCCCTGTGATCTGGGTCCCTAACACTATCAAGGATTTCAGCACTTCACAAGCCTCCTCCTGAACATCAAATAACACAGTGGAGCCCAGAACAGGGCTGGGCATCTTACCCTGTAGAGGAGTGGGTACAAATATGCTGGCTGTGAAGACCTGTTAACACCTACACTAACCCACAACTAATCACCGAACTGAACTGGAACCCAGATGCAGAGAAGGACGAGTGAAGAGCACAGGGGTCCAGACCAGGCTGGTGAAACCCACAGAAACAGTTGACCTGAACATCCGGGAACTCTTGCTCCCCAGACTAAAAGCTGGAATACCAGCATGGGACTGATCCAGACCCCAGGAAAATGGGTTTCTGTGAGGAAACCTAAGAAATCTACGGAACCTCCTGTAGTTCAGTACTTATCCCTAGCATAGGTGTGGACTTTTGGAGCCCATTCCACAGAGAGGAATACTCCCTGAGCCAAGACACATAAAAGCTGGAATACCAGCATGGGACTGATCCAGACCCCAGGAAAATGGGTTTCTGTGAGGAAACCTAAGAAAGCTACGGAACCTCCTGTAGTTCAGTACTTATCCCTAGCATAGGTGTGGACTTTTGGAGCCCATTCCACATAGAGGAATACTCCCTGAGCCAAGACACATGGGGGTGGGCCTAGGCCCTATCCCAAAGGATACAATAGACTCTGATCACCCCCCATGGAAGGCCTCACCATCCTGTGGGAGCAGAAAGGATATGTGATAGATAGGGTTTTAGTTTGTGGGGGGCGGTAGGGGAGGACAGGTGGGAGAAGAGAACTGGGATTGTCATGTAAAACAATCCTGTTTCTAATTCAAATAAAAAAAGTTGGAAAAAAAATAGAGAAATAGATGAAAGATTAAAAAAAAAAAACCTACACTGATCTGCTATTGCACAAAAGTAGCCATACAAAATATGAAATGTAATGAACCTGTGTATGTTCTAACCAAACCTTATTTATGAATACTAAAAGTTGAACTTACTGCATTTTCAAGTGGCATAAAATTTTCAGCCATTTAAAGACATCTGTTGGTCATAGGCCATACAAAACTTGATGCCAAGTGGCATTCAGCTCCCAGGCTGGATTATCAGAGTGTATTACAGCAACCAGAAGCCACGAGGCCCTACAGATGTCTAGTAAACATTGCAACAGCTGCATTAGTCACTTTAACAGCATCAAGCATTTGACAGTATCCGCAAACCTGGGCTGCTAGAGTTCACTGCAAACTAGAGCTACAGGAAGGGGTGAAACTACGCACTCAGTACCCAAAGCCTTCTTATACTGCACACAAGGGAACTGCATTTGCCCAGCAGTGTCTTTGACTTTTGTTCTTCAAGGTATATTTGGTTTCCAAGGGTGTCTCAGCCTTCTCTTGGCCCATGTGCAAGCTAAAGCAAGATTATTAGAACTTACAGTGCTTGGAAAACACACTTCTGGAGGCAGCATCAGCTCACTTCCTGCACATCCTCGTGGTCCTTTGACTACTAACTCATTTCTCAGACTATTTACCTGGCTGCTCTTTGCCCTTTTGTGTTCATTAACACCTTTATCTTTTCAAACTGATTTTAAAGACAAACAAAAGGGTAGTTTAAGAGGTAGGAGCTACTCAGATTAAAAAACTATTTTCCTCTGGTTAGAACTACAGCTTCAATGCGACATTTAGCATTTCCCCAACACACTATTTTGTCTTGTTCTATGCTTAATGCAGCAGTTCACTTTGCTGAGTCATCGCCAAAGTCAGACTTGTGCCTGAAGCTGAAAGCTGCAGTGTGCGGGACACAAAGGCTCTTCATTGCTTTTGGAGGACACACTTCTTACACCGACCTAGGGCAGAAAGGACGGCACTAGCTGAGCAGGAAAGGACCCCTTCTAGAGGAAGAAATTCAATTCCTGGGAAAGCAGAACTTTTCTGCAATCCAGTTCCCAGCCCTGAGCTCCCAGGGTGGAAGTGCAAAACTGCACAGGACACAAACATCCGTCTCAACTGAAACCACTTCTAGAATTACCTTTTGTAGCAACAAGAAGCCCAGAGAGACACAACCAAGCCACTACTCTGCTCATAGAAACCGCAGTTCAGAACCACATCAATCTACTGATTTATAAATACTGCTATAAGTGGGGCTGGTGAGGTGGCTCGGAGCAGATACTGCATTTTCAGAGGACCTGAGTTCAATTCCACATACCACGAGGCTCACAACTGCCTCTAACTCCAGTTCCAGATAGATCCATACCCCTGGCCTTCATAGGTACCTGTAAAGCACACAACACACACACACACACACAAAATAAATAAATAAAAATAAAATCTTAAAGACAAAAAAAAAGCTAGTGTAAATCACTATAAAGGTTAATTTTGTCAACTCGACCAAACATGGAAGCAAACCTATATTTAGTTAACTGGGGTGGGAAGACACAATCTACGTGTGGGTAGCACCATCCTGTCAACTGGGGTCCGAAACTGAATGAAAGATGAAGATGAACCGGGCTCTTGAATCATCTTTCTGTTTCCTGACTGAGGCCATAAGAGGACCAGCTGCCTGGGGTTCCTACCACCGGGCCCTCCCCTCCTAGATGGACTGACCCCTCACACTGTGAGCCAAAATAAACCTCTCCTGCCTCAGGTTGCTTTTGTCAAGTATTTTGTCACAGTGATGAAAAAGTGGCTAGCACAATCATTATGGCAGAATCAATCCCCTCCATGTTTAATAGATATGTGGACTCCAGCAAGCAAATCCTGTCAGAGAAATAAACAATACTCAAGATCTAAACTGAATAAGATGTAAAAATGTTTGCCCAGGATCTGTATTATATACCTTGACTTTTAACTATGCAGTAAACTATAGCTCCTGGATAGGGGCTGACTCAATTTAGCACACCATTAAAGAGAAAATAAAATGTGTATTAAAGCAGTTTTGCGTCAGTGAGGGCTGAGTCATCCCTGGGCTGAATCACTGCTGACGGCTAAGTCATCACGGGGGCTGACTGAATCGTGCCTCTGGGTTCTGATGATCTAGTTCCCAAGTTTAAAGGATGGCTTGCAAGCAGGTTGAAGCAAATGATTGAGAGAAAATGCTTCAAGCCTAAAACATTCATTATGGAAAGAAACATAAAGCTTACCACCCACATATGAGCCAACTACTTTTGCCCAGAGACTGTGGGCTGCTATCCTTACTCAGGGGATGTGGTGATGGTTGTAGTATCTCCATAGGCAGGGTCATGCAAATATCTGTGATGTAACTGGCATTCAGGACTGAACTCAGAGGTTATTCCAAAGACAACTTTATCTGCAATGCCCCATGTATAATATAGATGGAATCTTAAACACATTCTACGTTTAAGCACTGCAGTATGACCCAAGAAAAAGCAAGAAAGGAATCCTCCAGGCTGCAAAGATGGCTCAGCAGTTAGGACCTCAAAGTCAGTTCCCGGTACCCATGCCAGGTAGCTCACCAACACCTGTAATTCAGATGCCCTTTTCTGGAGTCTGCAGGCACCTGAAGTCTCTTATGGCCATAACACTCAAACACACACACACACACACACACACACAAACAAGCAAACATGTAAGAGAAATAAAATAAATCTTTGAAAGAAAGGAAGGAAGAGATCCTTGATAGCACTGGCCAGTGAGAAGAGACAAGGGCATTTCTTGCTCACCGCTCCAGCTTTCCTCCTGGTGGTGCCCAGGCAACAGAATCCAACATCATGACCTTGAAAGGCAGAAGCGTAGTCATCCAGCTTCTCAAAGTCCACCACTTCTTGATTCTAGACAAAGGAGGGCACAGTGGCATGTAATTCCATACATATAAGAAAGAGACAAAACACCCTTCAAGATGTACAGAATAAATGACAAATGATTATGGAAGGGTCTAAATTCATAACATGAAATACACCAAATCCCTTTTTCCACAAAACAAACAAACAAACAAAAAAACCTGGAGTTGGATATCAAACTCAGTGGCCAAGTACTCACAAGGTACATGTGAGGCCCGTATGACCAGCAATGAAAAACAATTTAATCAGGGATACACATGTATATTCACAGAACATGTAACTGCAGTAGAATGAGCCAGATTTCAAATATCCAGGTCATGTGTACCTTACCTCTGGGAAAATAAAAAATTAATCTATACTTTACCAGGAAGGAAGCCATTCAGGTAGAATGTGGGCACAGATGGTAAACAGAATCTCAAAGAAGAGGCAGGTTCAAATCTTAGGCCTGGTATTCACAGACATGCAGCTGTGACCAAGTTTTTGTTTTCTAATTAAATTTGGGGTTTTTTTGTTGTTGTCATTTATTTGTTTGTTTGTTTTCAAGATAGGATTTCTCTGTGTAGCTTTGGAGCATATCCTGGCACTTGCTCAGTAGACCAGGCTGACCTTGAACTCACAGAGATCCACCTGCCTCTGCCTCCCGAGTGCTGGGTTAATTAAATTTTTTAAAATTTATTTTATGCATATGGGTACTTTGCCTGCATCCGTGTCTGTGTACCACATGTGCATAGAGTCAAGAGGCACAGAAGAGGATCCCCTGGAACTGTAGTTAACAGATGGCTATGAACCACTACGTGCACAGTGGGAATCTAGCCCAGGTCCTCTGGAAGAGCAGCCAGTGCTCTTAACTTCAGAGCCATCTTGCCAAACCTATGGCTAGGTTTTGTTCAGCTGTAGTGTCTTGGTGTAGTGTCCCTTCCGTTTAGTTAATTCCTGTACTACCCTCATCAGAATTAGCCAGAAAGAACCTGAGACAAAGGCATCTTCCTGGGACTTGTTCCAACACCTGTGAGTCAGCCTCTGCAGTTTTGTACAGCTCCCTCCTCAGTATCTCTGTTTCTCTCATGTCTCTCTGCCTCTTCCTCCCTCCATCCCTCCCTCTCTCTCCAGGATAGGGTGGCCTCAAACCTCCTATGTAACTGAGGCTGACTTCTTAATCCTCTTGCCTCTATCTCCCAAATGCTAAAATTACAAGTTTGCTCCACAGGGGCCTTGTGTGTTCTAAAGCAAGTACTCTACCAGCCCAGCTGCATCCCTAACCCCATTCCGTTTTCCTCCATGGTCTTTCTAATCTACTCTGAAATTGACATACGCTAGGCAAAGAGTGGTAGACCCTGCCTGTAATCCCAGCATTGGCAGAATGAAGAAGCAGGGGAACTGAGTTTAAGGCCAGCTCACACTAGCTAGAGGAACTGTCTCAAACCTAAACATCCTGTATCTAGGAGTATAGGCTTGCCATCAAACTTGCAGTGCTCCATCACCCAGGAGTTCAAATGAAATCTTGGGTCTGTCACAATCTTCAGTTCCTTCAGGATTTTCCTGGCACAGTATATACTACACTAGAGAAAACAACAACAAAATAAAGCCTACTTAAGAGATGTGCCACCAAGACTCTACTCTGAAAGAAAATTGCAACCTTAGGCTCCACTTGCCAGGGATCTCCCCAGGGCTCAGGAAACTAGACTATGGAGTCCACCCAGCACCCACCCGAGCCCAAATAGAGAGGTCTATTTAAACCAGAAGTTCTGACGCACCAAGCATTTGTAAAATGAAAGACCAAGAAACCCCAGGAAACAAGAACACGGATTTCCAAGTGTGTCCACCAGTCAAAACGTTCCTCTGTGGGGCCCACGGGGCTGGAGTGTGGTCCCAGCAGCACACTACACTGTTTAATTTGCAGCAGTTGATAGGTAACTCTTGTTTACTTGAGAACAAAATGTACAGGGAAGCTCTGACTTCAGATACTTAGGCATTATTACCAGATGGAATTCTGGAGGTCCCATTTGCTTAACATGAAAGTGTAGCTTACAAGAAAGGCAATATTGCATTTACAGACACAAGCCTGGGAAGTGAAGCGGGGTGGATTCCTACTTGGGAGAAACTCCACCTGTCCTTGTCACACTTGCCCACTCTGACATTGTGAAGCACACAGGTAGGCAAAATGATCAAGCAGGGTGCAAGGAACTACAAACAGTGGCTTTCTCTGACGGCCATTCCCCACTCCAATCAGGGTTCTAGACACCGGAAGGGCATTGACACTGTAAGATAAAAGACAGGCCTATAAGCCAGGCACAACCCAGGGATTTCCAGAAGGGGTCTTCTAGATCAATCGTGCCCAATTTTGATCATTTCTCCGTGTTCGCCACCACTGGCAAGGGTCAGCCCCTGGATAAGGACACCTTCACCTCAGCAAAATGATTAGGGCTACACTTTTCTTTTAGCCCCAGCTCAAATACCCACCACATTTTTATAAGCTTCCTCCTCGAATGTGAGCTTCCTCCGACCAATGAGCGTGACTTTGGAAAACAGGTTCTGTCCCAGGATTTCTTTCAAAAGTATTTTGCCGGTTTCCCCGCTGGCGCCCAAAATAAAGACGGATTTATTCTGCATCCTGAAGTCTTCCCGAAGCTTCGGCAGAGCCTCCTTGTCCGCCATGCTGGGGAAACAACACCCACAGGTACGGTGTCAGAGTGCTAGGCGACAGTCTGTACCCTGGGGAACAAGGGTTGTTGATCTATTGAACAGAAGAAACTCTACATAGTCCCAGCCCAGGGAAAGTGCTGAGTCACAGCAGGGCTCGGGACAAAGGCCAATCCTGGCACCTCAAACGTGCCCAGCTGAATGGCAAAGGTGTCTCTACCCCACCGGGCCTCTTACACCACAGTAACCCGGCCCGCCTGGGCACGGCTGCAGAGTCCGGCTCCAGCCCCTACCCGGGGTTACCTGGGGCCAGCCCCGGGCCCCTCGTCCCCACGCTGCTGCAGGAACATAGAGACCACCAGCGCGGCTCCCACCGCGCCTAGCGCCGAGAGGCCAGGCATCTCTCCACATGCGGCCCCGCAGTCTCCCCTCCCGGCCTGGATCCCCGGAGAAGACCAACCATA